CGACGTTAGAATAAATTGGTTTAGCTCACTTGTCGTTGGAAGCCATCTTAAGAAACTTAAAAGAAAAAGTTGTAAATAGTAAAAAATTTAAAATTTAAAATTTATTTTCTTTTATTATTTTTTAAATATCTTCTAGAAATTGGAACTAAAGTATTAAAAATGAAAACTAAAAGAATAATAAAAAAAATTATGAGAATACGTATGAGTTTTTTTTCTCTCTTTTTTAACTTTTTTTTTTTCTTTGATTTTTGTAATAAAAAAAATTAATATGATAGGTTAATCCAAATTTTCAATTTTTATAAAAATGTGTAAAATTAAAAATAATTGATGAAATTTTGTTAATATACACATAGATTAAGTATTTTTATAATGGTTGATAGTTTATTATTGTTAAACTCCAACAATTAATTAATAAAATTTTAGCTAAGTAAGAGATTGGAGATTGAAGTTATATAGTTGGAAAGATGAAAGCATGATTTCATATTCATAATTGAAGAAAGGCAAAGAAGAGAGAGAGAAGAGAGAGTGAATATTTGGAAATGGGAAGTGCAGAGATGGCAGAGGCAGCGGGATATTAGGGAGATCAAACATTTTTGTAGCGCAGAGCGTGGCGTTGCAATGCTGGAGCTTCCATCCAGTGACTCTGATTTTAATCAAACACGATTTCTCTGACCCTTTTCTCTTTCTTTTTATGGGGAGTGGAACTCTCGTGGACGGTGTTCGTCGCTGGTTTCAACGTCGCACTTCGTCTTCTTCTTCTTCTTCTGATCCTACTTCTGATTCTAATCTCAATTATCCTTATCATGATGAGCTCGATCATGTTGTTAATGGTGACCAATTGGTGAGTAGCGATTTGCGCGCCCAATCGACTATTGCTACCAAACGGAAACAAACTCAACTTGGAGGAGAAGGGATTCTTGAGCAATTACCTGAGGAGGAGCACGACGACGACGACCTTGATTACTCTGCCTTGAAGCTCATCAAAGTTCCTAAGCGGACCAATCACTTCAGAGCTCCGCTTCCTCCTCCTCCTCCTCCTCCTGCTTTAATGGACTCCCACAAGAAGGTATTTCTTGCTGTTTCTTCTTTTTATTGATCTGGAGATTTGTGTTTCATTTCGTTTTGCTTTTCTCATCCTATGGATCCGAGATAGCGTCTCTGTCTAGCTCTTTGTATGTTCTTTTCTTATTAAAATTGCTTTAGTTTACGGATGAATTTGATATTCCCTGTTCTTCTTCTTGTTTGATCCTTCCGTTTTGCTGGTATGTTCATTTGATGATCGAGGAAAAGATTGAGCGGTAAACTTTTGGATTGCTGTTTGAAACTTTATCTTCCTGTAAACTTTTCTTTCACCTTCTTGACATAGGGTTTTTGTTGGAAGATACCGTGGCTTTGCTATCCCATCGCCTTGATTGGCCACAGTTGAAATTATGGAACTATTCAATTTAAGAAGACGATTCTTTAGCTTTTGAAAAGTTAAGAACTCTGTCCAATAAAAAATTGTCCCACTTTTCGCCACCGAAACGTTTTAAATCTACTGTTTTACAGAAACTGGGTTTTTGGAATTATTTGAAGTCCCCATCACTGATGTCTTGTGCTTGCAATGTTCTCAACTGAGCTCTCCTGGACTCTTGTTTCTTTCTGTTTTAAAGTGATAAGCCTCATTCGAGTCAAACGCTCCCCTGCCCGTGTCGTCTTCCTCGATCAATTACCAGCATAATCAATGATTTTCTTTACAACTCTTTTTGTTGAGTTGTATCATATATGTGATGATAGTTAAAGGATCTTGTTAAGTTAACTTGGGAATTTTCATGTTTTAATTCCAAGAGTTTCAGCCTTAAAATGAGTTCTTCAAAAAAATTTCCTGAACTTATTGACAGTGAAGAAGAAATTAGCCTCTTGGTGTGGAAAATTGTGTCTTCAACTATAGGATTCTTGATTCTTATATAAAGAACTGTGGAATTGTTAATATATTTAGGCCCTTGGCAATTGTGAGACTTATAGCATCTTTATCACCTATATAAGCATTTCGTATGTGTAACATCCGTTCATCGGTGACTCAATTCACTGGAGTTACCACTGACATAGATATTTTGCTTTGAAAATCAGTTGTAAGACAAAACATTTTCGTACAACATGTGAATCAAGTACTTTTACAATCAGAGTAAATTTTCAACAACAAAAGCTCATGTATGAATCAATAACTTCCAAATCATATTTCATGTAATTGATCTCATGTTATAATGTTGTTTGAATGTTGTATAGGGTGGGTTGGAAACAGAGTTTTTCACAGAGTATGGAGAGGCCAGCAGATATCAGGTTCAAGAAATAATCGGTAAAGGAAGCTATGGGGTAGTCGGTTCTGCCATCGATACACATACTGATGAGAAGGTCGCAATTAAGAAAATTAATGATGTTTTCGAGCACGTTTCTGATGCCACAAGAATTTTAAGAGAAATTAAACTCCTGCGATTGCTCCGTCATCCTGATATAGTAGAAATAAAGCACATTATGCTTCCTCCTTCACGGAGAGAATTCAGAGATATTTATGTTGTTTTTGAATTGATGGAATCTGATCTTCACCAAGTAATTAAGGCCAACGATGATCTCTCTCCTGAGCACCATCAATTTTTCTTGTACCAGCTTCTTCGTGGTCTGAAATATATACATACAGGTTGGTGGTCTACAAGTATTTTCCTTGGAAGTTTCTTTTCAAATTTACTGATGAACTTTCTTTTTCCAGCAAATGTGTTTCATCGTGATTTAAAGCCCAAAAACATTTTAGCTAATGCTGACTGCAAACTGAAAATATGTGATTTTGGACTTGCTCGTGTATCGTTTAATGATGCTCCATCTGCTATTTTCTGGACTGTAAGATTGATCGTGGAAACTAATTTCTTTTAAGTTCTCTCTCGTTTTGCTTTTGCTGATTATTATTTGTCCTTTCGAAGGACTATGTTGCAACTCGGTGGTATCGTGCTCCTGAACTTTGTGGTTCTTTTTTCTCGAAAGTAAGTTGCTTTGCACTTTGACTAATCTGTTCTTGTGTTCGAGCGGGTTTTATTATATGATACGTACGTTCTTTTTTCAGTACACTCCTGCAATTGATATTTGGAGCATTGGATGCATATTTGCGGAAATGCTCACTGGGAAGCCACTGTTTCCTGGGAAAAATGTGGTGCACCAACTGGATCTGATGGTTGATGTGCTTGGCACGCCTTCTGCCGAGTCCATTGCTAAGGTTTGAATGTTCATTTATATTGATTATCTGCTTTCTTTGTGAAGGTTCTTTAATTTTCCAACTTCTCTACCTTGAATGTAATTCTGCAAACCTTGAATTCTAGTGATCAAAGTAATCACCTCAGGAGTTCACCAAATATTAGAGACATCAAGAGTTCAAATATTTTTGAGAATCCGTTTTCAATGTCTATTCATGGCAACCTTTCCATTATATTTGCAGATTCGAAATGAAAAGGCAAGAAGATACATTAGTAATATGAGGAGAAAGCAGCCTGTTCCTCTCACACAAAAGTTCCCCAATGCCGATCCCTTGGCTCTTCGCTTGCTTAAACGTCTCCTTGCATTTGATCCCAAAGACCGTCCCACAGCTGAAGAGGTAAATGAAGTTATGAATGAAACCAGGTCTACTCTATAGATATTCGTACGAAGTGACTCGTTTTTTATAATATTCTATGGTGATGTATCCAGGCATTAGCTGATCCTTATTTTCATGGTTTGGCCAACGTGGATCGCGAACCATCAACACAACCAATTTCAAAACTCGAGTTTGAATTTGAGAGAAGAAAGTTGACAAAAGATGATGTTAGAGAATTAATTTATCGAGAGGTTTGCCCTAAATTTGGATGCTTGATGCTTCAACTAGCAATCAATATAACTTCATTAATCTTTTTGTTTGACGTAAACAGATCTTGGAGTATCATCCTCAAATGCTACAGGAATATCTCCGCAGTGGAGAGCAAACTAGTTTCATGTACCCAAGGTGAAAATCCATTACCCTTGTTAACCTTTTGAGAAAATTCAAAGGTTTTTAAGAAATATATATATGCGTGTGTGTTATACCATACTATCTTGTTAATTTAATGCATGGAATGAGTTTTTGGATTCATAGGTTGAAATAGGTGTGAAGACTTAACATTTTTTCCCCTTAATATACTCAGCGGTGTTGATCGCTTCAAACGCCAGTTTGCACATCTAGAGGAACACTATGGAAAGGGCGAAAGAAGTACTCCACTTCAAAGAAAGCATGCTTCATTGCCCAGGTAGGATTAAGAAATCTTTATCATCTTCTTCTTTGGAAAAAGAAACAACATAATCATCATAATCTCACAGCTGATGATATGACTGAATGTAAAATTTTCCCCCTTGACTTTGCCCCAACCAACACTCATAGTCCGAATGACTCGAGTGCACAAATAAAGCTGTCCGTCCTCGAAAAATTTAGTGAATAATAACATAGGATTGTACCCATATTACTATCTTTTTCATTCTGTGATTCTGTTTCATGTATTACATTTGTCCAGAGAAAGGGTTTGTGCACCAAAAGACAAGGTCGAACAACACAATGATTTAGAAGGAAGAAATGGTGCACATGTTGCTACATCTCTTCAGAGTCCCCCAAGGTCGACAGGGGATGGTTCAGAAAATGCAAACGGTTACGAACAAAATGAACCAAACAAGGCAAATTACAGTGCTCGTAGCTTGTTGAAGAGTGCCAGCATTAGTGCCTCTAAATGTATAGTTGTTAAACCAAGAAACGACCTAGAGGTAAAAAGTTAACCAAAGAACAAAAGAAAACTATGTGGGATTCTCTAAATATATATACCAAAGAAGTCGTCTTGCATATCTCTAGTATTTTGATGTTTGTTCTGAATGAATGGCAGGAGGAACCGATTACGGAGACGAACGACGAGGCAGTTGATGGATTGTCTCAAAAGGTTTCAGCTTTGCATGCTTGATATTTCGTACTAAGATCCCTTGAGAGCGTGGCACAAAGCGACGACGGGGCTGCTCGTTTTGCATATATTTTCCGAAAAGGACATGTTGGCTACAAGGCAGAGTGTGTAGCAAAGTTTCCCAAGTCAGGTAGGTGATGCTAACTAAAAGTAGGCTTTCCTCCCATTATTTCATACAATTTTTGTATTACGGAGAAAAAGAAGAACATGGTTCCATGTTAGTTTTTATTTATTTGTATTTTGAAGGGCCAATTTCAGGTTGTTACCTCGTGTAGCATGAACACCACCAGGCATTGGATTTATATATCACAAATCCTTGTTTGGCTCAGATCACTACTATTCACAGGCTTGTAACTCCATTGATGATGAATATTGATAAATTTTCTGGTTATGTATGTGTTATTAATATGAACCAACAAATTACTAGGCATCACATTCCAATATACCAAATCTGCGTGTGACATTTTCTTATTCCAGACCTCAAACTACCTTCCCTTAATCGAGACTCGACTCCTCTAGAGCCTTCGAACAAAGTACACCATTTGTTCGACACTTTAGTCACTTTTTTACTACACCTTCAAGGCAGGCTCATAATCCTTTGTTCGACATTTGAGGATTCTATTGACATAACTAAGTTAAGGGCATGACTCTAATACTATGTTAGGAATCACGACTTTCCACAATAATATGATATTGTCCACTTTGAGTATAAGCTCTCATGGCTTTGTTTTGGCTTCCCCAAAATGCCTCGTACCAATGGAAATTTATTCTTTACTTATAAACCTTTGATCCTTCCTTAAATTAGCCAATGCGGGACTCCCTCCCAACAATCCTGAACAACTTGTTCGTACTCAAATAACCAAATATCATGGTTGCCACTACTCCGACAAGGCAGGGTCGATGTTTTTTTTCGATCGAAACGGTAATTCCCGCGTGCTTGTCCACTGCGTATGTTTGTACAGCTTGGATTAGAATAATAGTTCATTAGAAAATGATTATGTTTTGAGCTAAGACAATTAACATGAAGAACGAAGTCAGTTGGGAGGTAGGCAGTGGAAAGCAAAACATACTTAAGACAGCTTACCATTGTTTTTTATGTTTGGTTTTACTTAATCTCCTCCTAACCTTAAACCATTTCTTCTTCTAATTCTCTACTTAACCTCATTTTTTCTTCTACGTTTTTCTTAAAAGCTTCACGCAAATGACTGGCGGCGATCAAGACCACGAGCCTGAAAAATGTGGCAACGCCACCAATCACCAACAAAGACCTGCCTCCTTTGATCCTTCGTCTCTTGTTTCTCCCAAGGCTGTGCCGCCCATTTCGGCGGCGCCGGAGACCGATCATGCTCTCCGCCGCCCGCGGGGGCGCCCTGCCGGGTCCAAAAATAAGCCTAAACCCCCAATTATTGTTACTCGAGATAGCGCCAATGCACTTCGAGCTCATGCGATTGAGGTTAGTTCTGGGTGCGATGTCAATGAGAGCCTCTCGAACTTCGCTCGAAGGAAGCAGCGTGGCGTCTGCATTCTTAGTGGGAGTGGGTGCGTCACTAATGTCACACTCCGCCAGGCTGCCTCCTCTGGGGCCATTGTTACTCTTCATGGACGGTAAATTTATGTTAAAGAATAATGGTCTGATACCATGTTAAGAACTAGAAACATATCTGATACCATGTTAAGAACCCGGATCATAAATGAGCATGATTGTTTTTTTTTAATTAGTTTTGAGATCCTTTCAATGTTGGGATCGATTCTTCCACCACCAGCGCCGTCGGGGATCACTGGACTGACGATTTACTTGGCCGGCGCACAAGGGCAGGTGGTCGGTGGAGTTGTGGTGGGTGCGCTCATTGCTTCCGGTCCAGTCGTGATCATGGCGGCGACGTTCATGAACGCAACGTTCGACCGCCTGCCGTCGGACGACGAAGAAGTGGCAAGCGCTATACAGAGCCAACACTACGGCCAAAATGGACGGAGCCACCATCATGTGGATGTGTCGGATCTGTATGGTGTGCCGCAGAATTTGATCACCAACAGCGCACTTCCGCCGGAATTGTACTCTTGGGCAGCGGCGGGCAGAACCATGTCAAAGACTTGAGCTCTATCATATGTTTAGTGAACTTTGTATTACAACTCAACAAATACATTTTTAATAAATATTACCAAGTGGATCTACAAATTACATAATATAATATATATTAAAAATAAAAAAAGTACCCTTTTTTCCTTATAATCAAAACATTAAAAGTATGAGATTTGGTGTCGTATATCGTAATGAGTACAAAACCGAAGCAAAATCATTATGTTAAAACGCTTCTGTTATGGAGAGGTTTTCACACTTTTATAAAAAAATATTTACTTGTGTCTATAACCAACGTGGAATCTCGCAATCTACCGAAGTCAGCATCTATCGTTTGTAGCAACCCAAGTCAACTGCTAGCAGATTGTCCGCTTTTGGCTCGTTACGTATTGTCGTCAGCCTCACGGATTTAAAACGCGTCTGTTAGAAAGAGATTTCCACATTCTTATAAGAAATACTTAATTACCTCTCCAAATCGACGTGAGATCTCACAATTCACCTCCCTTGGAACCAGCATCCTTGTTTGCACACTGCTCAATGTCTAGCTCTGATACCATTTATAACAACTCAAATCCACTGGTAGCAGATATTGACGCTTTCATCCGTTATATATTACCGTTAGCCTCATAATTTTATTACGTGTTTGTTAGGGAGAAGTTTTTACACCCTTATAAGCAATATCTCGTTCTCCTCTCCAACCCACGTAAGTTCTCACAATATGGAGCTCTAATAGTGTGCAATCGACGTTTGCTTTCTTAAAATTATAGACCTAGGTCCAAATTTAAATAAGAAAGGGTAAATTCGTCTTTTCACATGCCAAGAAAAACTTCAAAGGGTCCAAAAAGGAAACACAATGATTTTAAAGGGGTCTTTTCTCAAAAATCAAAATATTTTGAGGGTATTTTTGCAAAATACCCATTGTTCTTTTTCTTCTTCTTCCTCCTTTCCTTCCACTTCCCCCCCTCCTCCGCCATTACCAAACTTTACTCATTCTTCAATTTCTTTCCCTAAATCCCATTCTCTTCACCAATGTCTTCACTCCCACGAATCTTTCTTCTCTTCTCTCTTTGTTTCTCTCTTTTTCCTTCTTCCTTCTCTCTCTCCCATCCAGACCCACTAACAATCCGCCCATTTCAGGTGAACCACTCGCCGCCGGCTACTATTCCGGCATTCCCAGAACAGTCCGAAGTTCAGGGCTGCCGCCTGGACCTCCCCGACGACCTCTTCCATGGGATTAAGACAGCTTGCGGTCCCTCAAAAGGGGGTGTCTCCGGGAATCTCCACCGTAGCCGGTGCTGCCCTGTCTTGGCCGCTTGGCTCTACGCTGCTTACTCTGCCACCGCATTGCGGAGGCCCGTTCGAGCCAGCGCCGGTCCAGGTCACACAGCGCCGTCGTATGACCTGCCCCTGCTCCCCGATGACTCCGAAACTTGCGTCAGTAACTTGGATCAGGCTTTGAATCAAAAGGGTATTGAGCTAATGAAGCCTAATGAAACTTGTGATGTGGTTTATTGCTATTGTGGGATCAGATTGCACCCTTTGAGCTGCCCTGAGGCGTTTTCACTGACCCATGATGGGATTCTTGAAGGAGATAGAAATGTGAAGAGATTGGAGAGAAATTGCTTGAGTAGTAGCAATAGCAATGGATTTCCAGGCCTTGGTGGCTGCTCCAAATGCTTGAGTACTCTTTATCAGGTCAACTCTCACTGAATTCCTCCCATTTTTCACATTGTTTTACTTTCATTTCTGCATTTATGATTTATCAGAACATTATAGGAAGATGCAAACCTGCTTTAACTGTTGTCAATGATCTCAATGAGAATGTTTTTGAGATTGGGAATCATATCAATCCAGGAGGAGAACGAAATACCCTTTATAAGGATGTGGAAACCTCTTCCGAGAAGACGCGTTTTACCTTAAGGGGAAGTTCGAAAAGAAAAGTTCAAAGAGAACAATATCTGCTAGAAATGGGTTTGGGCTGTTACGAATGGTATCAGAGTCAGACACTGGACGGTGCGCCAACGAGGAACCTGAGCCCCGAAGGGGTAGACACTAGGCGGTGTGCTAGTAAGGTGGATTGAGGGGTCCCATATTGATTGGAGAAGGGAACAAGTGTCAGGGAGCGTGGGCCTCAAGGGTGGATTGTGAGATCCTATATCTGTTGGGGAGGAGAACGAAACATAAGTGTGGAAACCTCTTCCTAACAGACAAGTTTTAAAAATTTTGAAGAGAAACTCGAAAGAGAAAATCCAAAAAAAGACAATATCTGTTAGCGGTAGATTTAGCTATTACAAATCATAGCACGAACGAACTCGGCTACTAGGTAGTGACTCTAGTGAAGAACCATGACAAGCTCACTTGATCTTGATAAAGATCAAGTCAATATGAATATGACGTCTGGCATTCTCTGTTTAGCTGATGAAATCTGCAGATCATATCATTTAATGTGAATTCATTGATTATTGTATGTGGAAAGTTGAGTGTCAAATCAACCTTATAGGCTTTGAACTCTTTTGGTTCTGTTCATTAACATAATGCAGCTCAACAACAAGGAAGCTTTGAATTCAAGCAAGCCAGAGAACAGGACCATCAAAATGCACCACACGGAGTGTCAGCTGATGGGTCTAACATGGCTGCTTGCCAAGAACCGAACGGCATATATCCGCACCGTTACGTCAGTGCTTCGAGCTAAAATGATGAGCAAAGACGGGTCGGATCCCCGGTCGTGTACTCTCAACAGTGACGGGATGCCTCTGGCTGTCGACTCGGCTGAGATCTCCGGCAGCTCTGTTTCAGTCTCCATTCAGGCACCATTGTATGTTGGCCTGGTTTGGCTTGCTTTGATGTTCAACCTGTTCATGTTGGGTTCTACACAATGAGGTTAGGAATGATTCCACTTAGAAATTTGTGACCCTTTTTTGTGTATTGTGATTGTTGCTATGCTCTGATTAGAAAAAATGCATATTTTCTGATTAGTCCTCTGGGTTAGTAATATTTCTGGTTAGGTCCTTGAAATGGGCTTTTTGTGTAAATTTTAAAAATTTGCATGTGCTCTTGTTTCATTGGCATTGTGCATTATATAGATAAGATAAGATATCCTACATATTTTCAAGGTTTTTTTTTTAATATTTTAAATTTTAAATTTAGTTCTTATATTTTTTAAAAATTATTTTTATTTGGTCTTTTGAATTTTGAATATTTATTCTGAATTATAGTAATTAAATTATAAATTTGGTTACGAGGGGTCTCGTTTTCCAATATTCTGCCCTACATTTCCATAAATTCCATTTAAAAAAAATTTGAAAAAAGAAAAAAAATTGTTTCAGTTGTCGATGGTGAGTGAGTAAGCAAGCGAGTGACAGTGACCATCGACAAGCAGCAACAACAACATTGATATGAATGGCCAAAAGCTTAAATTATTATTTTCAGTGTTTCTTGGACATGTTATATACATGTTTCTTAGTCATTTCTCTCGTGTTCGATAATATGACATATATTTAGAACTAGCTAATCAGATGCAAGTCAAGCCCTTCCTCGAGCGGATTCCTCCTTTCAACCGTTTCTAGCTGTTGTTCCCCTTCCAAGAGTAGATTCTTACGCGTTACTCACCCGTCTTCCACTGGAAACCCTACTTCCTGTCTGACTTGCATGTGTTAAGCATGCTGCCAAACAATTAGGGTTTTTGAAATTGTGAATAAAGAGTTTTGGAGTTTTGTCATTATTGTAATTATTTTAATTACAATAATTAAAATAATTGTGTAGTTTGATGAGTGAGTTTCATTAAATTTAGGGAACCAATAAATTAACGCGCGGGCCAAATAGTAAAGTATATATTAATAAATAAAATTAAAGGAAAAAAGGTAAATAAAATAAAAATATTAATAATAATAAAAAGAGGCGGGGACTGTGGCTTTTACCGGCAAGTCTGTAAGAAGTACTCCTTCAGCACCGTTGTCGACCTCTTCGTGCGCTTCACGATCACAGTTCCCAAATTGACTCTCCTTTTCGCCATTTTCAACACCTTCTGTTCTTCTTCTTCTTCTTCATTGCTCTGATCATGGCGACGGCGGAGCTCTGTGAGACTTACGCCTGCGTGCCATCTACCGAGCGAGGCAGAGGAATTTTGATCTCCGGGCACCCCAAAACCAACTCCGTTCTCTACACAAATGGCCGATCCGTCATAATCCTCAATCTCGACAACCCGCTGGAGGTCTCTGTTTATGCTGAGCACGCGTATCCGGCTACGGTTGCTAGGTACTCGCCGAATGGCGAGTGGATCGCGTCCGCTGATGTGTCCGGGACTGTGAGGATTTGGGGCACTCATAGTGGCTTTGTGCTTAAGAAGGAGTTTAAGGTTTTGACTGGGCGGATCGATGATTTGCAATGGTCTCCTGATGGAATGAGGATTGTGGTTTGTGGCGAGGGGAAGGGGAAATCGTTAGTGCGTGCTTTTATGTGAGTTTGTTGCCTTTATTTTCTCCTTATTCATCAATCTCCCAAATTTTCTTAGGAATTTGTTACATGTCTGATATATCATCATCTTCTTCTTCTTCTTTAATTGGCCCATGTAATGAATGTCTGATCTCATATTAGGTTTCATCTATACCGTAGAAAATGAAGACCTTGCGAGGAATTGAAAGTGCTCTAATTGTTTTGGCTCTCTTTCTTGATTAACCTACTATTATTTGTCATGATTAGGTGGGATTCGGGCACGAACGTCGGCGAGTTTGATGGACATTCTAGGCGGGTTTTAAGCTGTGGATTTAAGCCAACAAGACCCTTTCGCATTGCCACCTGCGGAGAGGATTTCCTAGTGAATTTTTATGAAGGACCGCCATTTAGATTTAAGCTATCTCTCAGGTTTGTTAATTGTTCTTTCTTACGAAATGCATGCCGTGTGTAATGTAAGGATTTCCCTTAATAGGATTTCACATTGACCACAAAGATGCTTAAACCAGATAACTCCCGATTCGTGAGGATGGTTCTCTCCACACAGATATACTAACCACAGGCAAAATAATCAAAAGTCAAGATAATACACAGAAATCGTAAATGTAAAACAGACAACCGAGATAACAACTAAATAAGGAAAATTTTCATCTCTGCCCCTCCTAACATATTTATTTACCATTGGGGGTCTCATAGTGTACCTTCCTTCCACATTGATGGAAGACATTATAGCGAACTCCAATTGTATCGAGCCTATCACTTTCGGAACTCAATGCTGACAATGGTCACCTAATGCATGAAAATTTGTGTTGCTAGTCTCTGGAGTTGTGCTTTTTTCTTGTAGTCTTGAGATATATGTTTCCTCTTTTTTCTTGTTTGCAGTTACGTAATGTTAAAATACTTTAGATCGAGTTAAAACTGTGAAGAGCGAAAATAAATGGAAGCCAAACACAAAAAATTACGTTAATAATGCTTTTCCCTTCAGCTTAAGTGTGAAGAAGGAGTTGATCAAGAAACAAGGAATTTTTGCCAAATAAAGAGAAAGAAACAGGGAAGTATTTATCCTAACATGTTTGAAGATACGTGGTGACATATTAGTATACATACTTCCCTGTTGAGGATAGTTTGGAACAATTTGACCAACCAATCCTACAAGACATGCTCTCAACCTTCTTCACATCCCCCAACTGGACTAATACCCATATTGCTTTTTCATTATTTTTATGGTTACTTTGTAAGGTGATATGTTTATGCTCCGTAAGGTTTTATTATTATAACTTCAAAATTTGTATTTCTTTTTAAATCTATTTTTAAAGCCATCAATGAAAACCTTTGGGGTACGTTTACCTTCAGGAACCATTCAAATTTTGTCAACTGTGCAAGGTTCTCTCCAGATGGCAGCAAGTTCATTAGTGTAAGCTCTGACAAGAAGGGTATAATATATGATGCGAAGACTGGGGATAAGATGGGAGAACTCTCTCCCGATGATGGGCATAAAGGCAGTATTTATGCTGTCAGCTGGAGTTCGGATGGGAAACAGGTTAGTATAGATTGGTTCTTTTGATGTTCTGTTGACTTTATGATTATAATATTGATAAATCCTCGAATTGTATGAAAGACAGTTTCTAATCTTCATAATATTATTGGAGAAATTATAGATTTTTCTTGAAATTTTTGTGAAATCGAAATTAAATTGAAAGTTCTAAACTTTTTAATGGAATTGCACAATATCTGAATCTTTGTTTAATTAAAATAGTTGGATATAGGTAATTACATACGTAATTTTTTTCCTCAGTTTTGTAGTTTTCTTTGGAACTTTAAGAGTGCAAAGAACTTTGAATGTTAATACTATCATCTTTTGTTTTTGAATTCATCTATGCATCTTTGTCTCATACTTTGATGAAGATGAATGAATGATTAATTTCTCTCTTTACTGCCACGATTATTTCTTCTTATTTGAGATATTTCACTAGTGATATATTAATGCTTGAAGCTTTTCTTTTCAATTTTCTTCATACCACCTCTTTAAAAATTATGCCTTCTGTTCCTTTTAGGAGGAGCTTGGTTACCGCATTGTTATGTTGAGTGTGCAACGGAATGCAAACTTGTACTGCTTATGACATGGACATGCTTTTTAGTTTGAAGTATTCTGTCGTAGTACATTCTTAAGAGACACCTCATTGTGAAGGAGAACGCACTTTACCAGATATTTATTAAAAAACAAAAAGCAACTCTTTTATTGGCCAAGTGTTCCTTACACCATTACTTGTGGATATTAGTTTGTGTACGCTGAACTTCACCAGACTACCTCAAGATCCAAAACTACACCGATTTCTTATCTTTAGACTAGCAAATAAGTCAAGTCATATTTGATAAATTTAAAAGATTCACTGTTCCTCGCAGAATTGGTGGTGCCAAAAATGGTTCTTCCAATTGCATTGAGATATGTACACTCTTTTTTTACATTCAAGAGCGACCAAGCTAGCTTGCATGTTTCTCAACTGTTCTCATGGGATACTACAATTAGTTGCAAAAAAAAAGAAAGCTCATTAAATTTTAGGTAGGTGGCCACCATGACTTGGACATATTCCCTTTGATTCCATTACTATTTACATTGGCCCTTATTAACTACTAGGGAAACCTATAGTGCTTTATTGCATTGGGACTCGTTCATTTTTGCATCCATGGGTATTAAATTTGTCTATTTCAAGTAAGAGTTATTTGAATTAATAAGGTTCATCTTATTGGTTAACTTAATCCATTCATGCAGATTTCTCTCCCATATTATCTACTAGTATGGTACTTGTTCTTGTAAATTGTAATATTTACATTAATAATTAAGGTAATTATTTGTTGGAAGATAAATTATGCCTTTTTTAATTGTCTGACATTTGCAATCAGTAGAGACATTTTCTATCGAGACAATTTCAGAGCTGAGATTTCTCTCTTTGGTGTCATATACTTTGTGATAGACAGGATATTATGTTATGGTCTTTTTTTCTTCCTGGCTTGGCTTTTTTGGTCCCTTATATTTTGTATAATATCTACTAATGTTCAGTTGTGATCGTTATTTTAGGTGCTGACTGTCTCTGCCGACAAGACAGCAAAAGTCTGGGTGATATCTGATGATGGTAATGGGAAGTTAGTGAAAACCTTGACTTCTCCTGGCACTGGTGGAATTGATGATATGCTAGTTGGGTGTTTATGGCAGAATCAACATCTTGTCACAGTTTCTCTTGGTGGAACTATTAGCTTGTTTTCAGCTAACGATCTTGAGAAAACCCCTGTCATCTTATCAGGACATATGAAGAATGTTACTTCATTAGTTGTTCTTAAAAGTGACCCTAAAGTTATATTATCTACTAGCTACGATGGGCTGATTATTAAATGGATCCAAGGAATTGGATTCAGTGGCAAGTTGCAAAGAAGAGAAAATTCTCAAATCAAATGTTTTGCAGCTCTTGAAGATGAACTTGTTACATCTGGTTTCGACAACAAGGTGATTACGTTAAGTTGAGCAATGCATAACAAGTCTGCTAATTTCCGGTTTTCTTTCTTTCGTTCTTACCATCTTAGAAATGGT